ACTCTACGTCGCCAATTAGTTCGCAACCGCCTGTATGACCGTCTGTGTGAAACAACAAATTGCGTAATTTGCCCTTACGGCAAGGACGGTGATTGCATGAGTTCAGGTACGATATACCCGATCTCTTGTAATAATTGCGGAGATGAACATATTGGCGAAACGGGCAGACCTTTGTGTATCCGTATAGAAGAACACCTAGATGGCAAACGAAAACTAAGACGAAGCACCCCACTAGGCACGCATAGAATGCAAAAGCATAGCGGAGACGATTTTGAAGGAAAAGTCAATATCCTCGCACAGGAGTCCAAAACACCAGCGCGAAAACTCCTAGAGGCTTTTTGGATCAATGCCAAAAACCCTACAAAGAATAGCAGGGACGAATGCCCGGAGGTCATACGCGACCTGATCCCGTATGTTCGCATCGATTTTTGATGTGGGATGGTGCAGTCGTCAACCACATGCGACTATAATCAGCTGTTCTAAACTTCCTCATTGGAAGTCACGAAAAAGCGGTGGGTTTTTCGAGAAGTTGTTGATCGTGTAATTACCAAAGAGTCTTTCGTCTTTGTGTAAGTGTTATTGAAGCGTTTGGCCTAGTAGATTGTATATCAGCATGCCCTTCCAGGCTCAGAAGAAGGCGATACTGCCGAAACGTCAGCTAGCGTTGTATTGTATTGTGTTTTTATGGAAGTAAATGTATGCTGTTTAAAAACCTCGCGATTGCTGAACAAGAAAACGACACATAATGCTGAGATATTTGCAAAACTCTGGACCGCAGTTGACGGGTGATTGCTGATGGCAAAAAGATCGATAGAACTAGCTGAGAGACAGGCGAAACGAAGGACCTGCATGGTGTGATGGTGAACGCGTTACTCGCCGGAAAGGACAATAGCGCGCTCGTTCCCCACCACAAACACCTGCGGTCCGGAGTTTTGCAAATATCTCAGCATTATAGTTATATTTCGCAACATACCATGCCGTTAAGAAGAATAGGCAGTAAATAAAAAGGTTAAGAATAGGAGATAACATCATACCCTTGACGTCATCACAGTGCAAATGGCATTGGTGGCACCGACGAATTTCAGTGACTGCATCTAAATTAGAATTGCTCATAGTAGGTCGGAAGAGTTTATCAGCGAACAAATGGAAATGGAAGTTATCGTATATTTCCTTCTTCCTAGTCAAATACTGGCGTAGACTTTTTCTTAAACGAGTCAAATGCTGTATGGAGAGCATCACCTCGCTTTAAACCTTAGCATATCACCATTTCAGTTCCATTGTTTTCGACGAATTTACTCCGAACTCCTGAGGAAGTAGCACGCATAATAAAAAAGCATTTCTATTCAGTGACAATCACGTTTATCAAGCTAATAAGCTCATGTATAAATTTGATAATCTACGAAGCCCACGCTTCTATTCAATAATTTAGATAGTAACTCGCGGCAGGTAGTATTTAAACATGGTAAGTGTCAAATGTACAGCTAAATATTGAGCTTATGAAGAATTCACTACCGTTCTAAGTGAACCTTGGCCCATCATGATATGCAAAGAATCCAGCGATGCACGCTTGATATTTAGCTTTTCTTCTGCATTTTCATCGAATTGAGTTTTTCTTTTTGAACTCTCCAAATGCATAGCTTCTCGGCACGGTTACCAAGCAATGTGAAGCCGTCAAGCCCAAAACATATGAAGCAGCTTCCTTCACTTTAGAGGAATTACCACAAAATGTCGCTTTATTACAGCTCAGCACTAGAAAGTAGCGAAATAATTTCTACCGATGTCCTGAACAGAAATGGAAGAATAGTCCTAGTAAGTGTATCAGCCGTGAAAGCAAGAAGCGGTTTGTTGAAAAGGCACTCAGTTAGAAGAAAACCTAGTTAAGTAGTTCTATAACCAGATCATCAGCAAGTTCCTTACGTAAAGTCTTGCCTAGATGCTGCTTAAAGCTTTAACAAATACATAATGCATAACACCATAAATGATTATCACTAGTGGTCCAAATAATTTGGATTCCACAAAAATGTATTTACACAATCCTAACACAGCCCCGCAAATGTCGCAATATTCAACGAGTGACACAACTGAAAAATCTCTGATTCAAACCAAAATTTCCCCACTGCTAACTAAAAAAGTCTTAAAAAATCCAGAGGTACTAGTAGAGGTAACACGAAATACTCCAGTTTGTAGCATTCGAAAGTCCTCACTCGAAAATTAGCCTAGAGCTTTACTATTTCAAACTAAGAACTAGCCTGAGAAATTTACGGTTCCCCTCCCTATATTTTAAAGAATATAAGTGAATAAAAGCACTTTGAAAAAAAAGCTGTATCAAACACTACGGTTTCCTCAAGGGACATAAGAACGGTGAGGTTGTTTATAAATCATAGCCCTACAAGAGTACATTTATCTGCATTAGATTTAACCCTTTGATTAACAGCAGCAGTTTAATCGTTGATAGATTTCCGTTTCACCGAAAACCTCATATGAGAATACAACAACATTAGAGCCCGAAAAATTGTGTAACTTTTAAACAATAAACTTTTAAACAAGTTCTTCAGCACGTGAAAAGTATTAGGAGCTACTATGGCCAAACGAATACAAGTGAGTTTTAGATCCTAACAACTCCTTAAAAAAGCTCCCTCTTAAGTCGAAATCTCGCACTATTCAGTTTTAGTTATATATCTGTTCTAGCTCCTCTTGAGCAATATGGAGAACTTGTGTCGTTCCAGGGTATTAACATCGGAAAACAATGGAAACGCCCTTGACATTCTTTTTTTCACAGTGTAACAAGTAAGATGAAACGCTAAACTGAACTTCATTCTAGATGGAAAGAAAGGCATTGAAACTATGTATAACACTATATCAATACCGTGGTCGCACATGCTACCTAGTTATCAGTAAACTGAACAAAACGACGGATCCCATGAAAACAGTATTGATTATATTGATTGTAGTAGGATGGTGGGCTAAGCAGAAAAACACGATGAAGTCTGGAAAACACACGATGAGAACGAACCTGTCAAATAAACGCCACTTGCTCTCTTCGCACGTGCCGTCTGCACCAAGTACTCACCGTGATTTTTTACACTGTAATAGTCGGGGAAGGCTGACAAAGAGTCTTGCTAAAGGAACTGACGAAATCAACTGATCCTAATGAATATTCAACGTCAGAACAGAACCGTGTTTATTGAGAAATGAATCGAACTAAACATTAGGTTGTACACCTATGAAATCTCATCCCATCCATTGACTGGTGATCCTCCAAAAAAAGAGCAAGCATTGGTTTAAGCTGAAAAGATGACTTGGTTCACAGAAGCATTTGATTTAAAACTCAACCTTTTCATCTCTAACAAGTACAGAGATAGAAAAATTCGAAACTTGCAAATTACGCTTACAACATGCACGAAAATGAAGGACAGCAGAGAGACTGTGCTGGCATTTCCACAATATGGAAAGGTCGAAAACTATTTTCTTTTATGGTTGTTCTGCAGAGTTAAAGAACTGTGTTAAGGAAGTCGTGTGGATAAACACTGCTACAACTCAATTTGCTAACAAGTACTAGCAATACTGTTCAGAACTGAACTGAACGCTCCGCTTGGTTTATCTTGTTAAAAGAAAGAAGAAAAAAAAAGACACTGGAGGTAATGCACTGCTACTTGGGTATTTGGATAGCCCGTCCTTACTGATTACGCGGGTCACAGCATAATCTCCATTTTTCAGAATTTTGCTGACTTAGCCAACTGGAGTCTCAAGGTCAGCTTGGCCAAAGTCTGCCCCAAGTATTCACCACTACAGGCAGTGGATCAGAGGGACGTATGCCACCATGCGACTAGTTTGATACAAGGACGATGATGGATCCTGGTGCTGGGTTACCCTTAATTAGGCTTCCTGATGGAAAGACCCTTAGCTTGGGAGACCCTACTGAGAGAACCAATTCCGGAGCTGTAAACCAGCCAGGAACATTTCCAATCCACGATGAGGCAGTAAACCGTTGCGAGGTAATGCAGTGATGTAGCCTAACAAACTAAAGGATTCCTCTTTTCTACGTATCCTTGCAGTTACTCAAACAATACTGGAGAACGACGCTAAATTGAATAATTGCATTGATACTAGACCAATTTCCCCGAGTTTGGCGTGATATTCCCATAAGCTGACAAAAAAGTAATCGCGGTTTCGGTTCTTCTGGACCTCTATGCCAATCCAGGAACATTTCACTCAACTCTGTACATGTAATATATCATCCTATAGGGCGGAATTCTTTCGTGGTCATATCGTCATTCTTCTAAAACTGCTATCCACTGTCAAATCAAAGATAGAAACAATAGATTCTACCCTTATTTCAAGAGCAAATGAAAATAAAGACCTAAAGGAAGGCTACAGGGAATGCTCCATCATGGAGACCTCTTTAAAAGTCATTGGAATGCCTATTCACATAGAATGTCCCTAAGTCGTTCGTTTACGCATTCACGAGTTTTTTCATAACTGGAGCACATGAAGAGTTGAAGATATGGTTGATCCATAGAAAAAGTTTTGCATTGCCATTCTAAAGGCTTTTTCAAATTTCCTGCGAGGCTGTTTTCATTTTAGAGTTGGACAGAAATGCTGTTTGTTCGCAAGCCTCGAAACACCACTAGCACAGAGAATGGGAACTTCACATTTCTGTGCTCACAGTGAAATCTACTGCGAAACTGGAGACCAATCGTGCATGTTAAAACCAAAAAAATGTAAGAGCGGTCTAGCTGATGGTTGGACAGCGAGCGACGTCCTACTCGAATTTTATACTACGTCCTTTCAATAACAAATCGTTCCACCTGCTTAATAATTGTCATTAGCTTTGTCGTTTGCGGAAACTACTTCGTAGCGATGATGGGGCAGGGTGGGCTCTGGTTCTTCACGTTTTCAGTTATTCGTACTCTTTGTTTTTTTTTATGAAATTGATGAAGGTAATGTCGTATTCTTCTTAGATCGCAGTGTATTCGAGTGCTTTCGTGCATAGGTGAACGATGGGGACGAAATTGTCCGTGTCGATAGAGAACACATTGCACCCCGAAATCGCTCCCCGTACCGATCGTCCACCCACTTTCGATCCTCAGTATGGCTTCAAGAAACCAAGAAAGGTACTGATTGGGCTATTTAGCGTTGTTATGCTAAACTCTCAAGAATAGTAAAGTGGGCGCGTTTCCCACTCATTTAATTTAGAGGTGTAGGATGGAGTGATTTCTATATGATCTTTATTCATACCGTCACCATTTCACTTAGGAGTTTTTATGTCCTCTGAATAATAAGTCTGCTAACATGAAAGTTTGTTAGCACCATGGCCATCTTTGTTAGGTTCGGGAAATGAAAGTGTCATGGGAGGAGATGGATCAGTTCAAGTTGAAACCTGGCCAACGAGACTACTGTGCCCATCTGCTGATTCCATATATCAAATGTCAGGTATTGGCCGTATGCCGTATTCGTTTTACTTTTTTTTGAAGCTGTCACGTTCTCATTCCCGGTTTTGATACGCTTCTTGCAAGTGGTCAGTAGGTTGTTTCAGAGAGCGCACGCCCCGTTCGCAGGATATTTTTGTGACGATAAGCGAGCTGCATGGGATAAATGCGAGTACGAGGACTATATTATGCGTATTAAGGTTTATGTTTACTGAAGTTACTTCTTACTAATTTGTTTCATTACTCGGAATTCACACATCTTGAGGGAGAAAGTGCCCAGCGCAAGTGATCTTTCTGGGTAATGACACATTGTCTTACTAATTTTTTTACGGTAATACAAAGGCTTTCGTCAAAATTATGTCTTATTTAGGAGTTCGAACGTGAGCGACGCCTGTTAATGCGAAAGAAGCGCAAGGAAGCCATGGCAGCTGCTTAGAATGAGATTTGATTAGATGTAGAAGTGCTTTCCGTTCTGTTTCTTTGTTTTTGTTCGCAAGTCTAACGAGAATAAACCTTTGATCGGTGATGTTTCGAGAAGCCTATGTGGATAACTTATAACATATCTTTGTTCTATTTAAATAGGCATTCTTATGTAGATTACAAATAGTTAAGTGCCTATGGAGAAGCTCATTGAAGAGTGCAAACTGGACTGTCCTGAAGAGAAACAGATTCAGGTATGAGGCTCCTACTTCTTCAGGTGCTTTAACGGGAAGTTGATTGTGCTTAATAATAAAGTTGTATCGGGAAATCCTTGCGGAAGTTGCAAAAGTGTTTTCAATTCAGGTGCATTTCTGAAGGTCTTGGTTCGTGGATTTTTACTTTAGGTGCTGGAGAAATGCCTACCATTTGTTGGGACAGATCGCGATATTCAGAGTAGATCCATGGGTTGGTTACTATTGGCAAGGATATTAGAGAGGTTCTGTTAAATTCCGTTCCAAAACTGCTTATCTTCTCTGTAGGTAATATGTTTTTAAGAACGTTTTTGAATTTACTACGTACATGAGTTGCTGCTACAAAATCTGTTGATGCTTGGATACATGGATGGCCCGTCTTCATTGGTTGTGCGGGCCCCATCATAGTTTCCATTTTTCATTTTTTCGAGCTGTTGCTAGTTTAGCCATTGTGGTTCCCCAGAGTCCCGAGGTCAGCCTGGCCAAAGTTTGCTCAAGTCGCCACCACCATAGGCAGTCGCCGCCCTTGTGAATCAGAGTGGGATTTGCTAACGTGTGACTGGCATGATACTAGGACGGTGGTGATTTCTGGTATTGGTGAAACTATTGGTAACGAGGAGAATGTCCTTTTGGGGGAACAATGTTTATCGATTTCAGTACTGTGTTTGACTTTGGAAGAACCAGCAACCATTGCAAAATTGAGCGTCATACACCGAATTAAATGAGCTTAAAAAGAAATGCTGTAGAGAAGATGATTTGGGCGGCAATAGTTTCTAGTTTCTGAAGCAGTAGTGAGATATTATGCTTATCATCCGCAGGTGTAGCCCACAATGTCTGAGGGTAGCGCAATCTCGGCTAGCTAAGAAGTTGGTTCTTGTTAAGAACGAGCCTACCATTTATGGCGGAATATTCCTTAGACAGCTGCTTATCCGAAATCCACAGGTACCTACTTATTTCCTAATGTTTTCCTAAATTTATGTTTTCGTGCGTGTAACTAGGATATCTGGAGTATGAAGTCCACATAATGGATCAATCTCCCAGAGTTTCTTTGCTGCCTTCGTGTTCCCTTTTTAAAATTCCTCGAGTAATGTGTATGACTTCTTTGGAGCTCATGAATGCATTTACTTTTTAAAAAGCATTGTCAGTAGAACATATTTGTGCCGTTTCGTTTGTCTTGATAGTTTAAGCGTAACTGGCGACCAGGTTCTACCGACTCACCCACTATTGGTCTGTTGTAAGTGCGCTACATTTCTTGGACATTTTATTAAATTAGTTACTTTTTTTACCAATATTCTGTTATGTTACTAGAATTAATCTTTTAACTCTTAATTCATGTTTTAGCTGAAAGTGTTTGAAGTTCCTTTAAATAGATCTGAATAAAGTCGTTGAACCTGATTTTAGATTGGGCACCTCCACGCTGATGTTGTCCACAGCATTATAACGCGTTTTATTGATTTAACAATCAGTTCCGGTGACCAGATGTTAAGGTATCTTTTAGACAAAATCCGATAATTTTACACTTGATAGTTCGATGGCCCATGTTTACTATTTACAATGAATCGTGCAAACTCTTTCAAAGTATGCATTTCGTAGGTGATTTACATGTCGGAGAATATTTCCTTTAATTTCTTCCTCAAGATTGACATATTTTGAGTGTCTCAATTCATGTCCACAAAGATTCTACGGCTGTTACACATAAGAGGAGTTTCCACATGAAAATGTTGCTTTGCTTTGGTGTCCGTTCTAAGGAAGAACTCTACCTCCATATCTTATTTCAACGCATTGCACCTATCAGCTTTGATCACTCGATAAACCATTTAGGATTCATATTCTTACACATATACATGTATATATAATATGCATGTCTAGGAGGTTGAGCATAGAATTGTACTCGATACGCTATGGTTGTGATGCACAAATGTCAGAAGTACTGCTTAACACTCTATCAGCTGCAATGGCTAAGCGGTTGCTATCCCAAGAAGAGCGAGCAGGTACATAATAGAATTTCCAGGTTATATGAGGTTTCCAGCTTATTGTAAAGGTGTCTTTCGCAGTGAATTTAAGTAACTCTGCGTTTGAGGTATTTTTGGCGTATGCCTGTAAATTTGGTAATACATAAATTTTCGATGAAAATACGTTTTAAACGGGATTCTGGTGAGGTTTTGAAAGTTGTGTATAAGGTATTTTGGCGAATTATTAGGACTTCTTTCCGTGAGGCAGTTTGTTACCTCCTCATTATGATTCTTGATGTTGGTCACTCATGCCTGTTTCTGTCTGATAAATGTAGTTGTTTCCTAGGAGTACTCCATCTGAAATCATTCGGAGTGTCTTCCTCACGTGATGATCTTTGCATTCTCCTTTTTGAGTTGTATTCGTCATCACTTTGTTTTGCAAAAGCAGGTAGTACGTTTTATGTTTCAAGTGCTCTTTTTTGTAATTTTGTCGGACTTTCTACCACATTCAATTTTACAGGCCAGTTTGTTCTGCGCGATGATATCATGAGCGTCTTGGAGGCAGGCTTGAATGATTTACAACTACGTGAGAGCGCTCTGGGCACAGTTCGCTCACTTTGCACCAATGGAGAGACTGCGTTCTTGTCAGTGGTAAGTAATGTGTGGTTTTTGAATGGCCCCTTCTCACTGATTTTGCGGGCCCCAACATAATTTCCACTTTTTCGGAGTTTTGATGGTTTAGCCATTGTGATTCTCTGGAGGTTGGAGGTCAGTCAGGCCAAAGCCTGCCACAGGTCGTCACCATCACGGACAGTCGCCGCTTTTGTGCATCAAAGGGACTAGTTTGGTACCAGGACGGTGGCGAATCCTGGTATTAGTTTACTTTTAGCTGGGCTTCCTGATGGGAACGCTGGATTCCTTCTCAGTTCCAGAGACCCTGTTAGGGGGAATGAATCTCCTGCTGTACATCGCAACCCGACCACAGGAACACCTTCCAGCCACGAAGAAGCAGTCAACCGTTGGGAGGGTTAGATAAACTTATAGAAAGCGTGTCAAATATATCGAGGGGTGGACTTTCTAGGCTGGCTTCTATATTTCTCCGTTTATTTTACAAAAACATGAGCAAGAGTCGTTTTACGAACTCTCTTTGTGTCTATATTACAACATTATTCGCTTCAGATACCTCAGGTAGTTACGATTCTAATCTCGAAATTGGATGCTCCGATCGAAGCACTTTTTGACACGTTAACTCATATCTGCCGTGTTTATGGCCCTGGTTCAACGTTGTTTCGACATTTTTATGCAATATGTAGCGCTCTGAGACATCCTTTGGATGAACAGGTATTAATGTGTGAACTATTACCATTTGATTCATCATATTGCGCTGCTGTTTTTAACATTGTTTTTGTTACTATTTTCGGATTATGGACCATCTGCTGGTGATCTACTGTCGGCTGTTATTCAAACTTCTTCATTTTTAATTAAACCAGAGGTGTGTGCATTATAATTGTGATCATGATTTTTATTTTGGTCGTCCTTGTTTATTATTACCATTCGCGGTTTGGGCTACCGTTATTAATATTTCTAATTCGTCCATAAAATCCATCAGCTGCCCGGTAAGATCCACACGCTTGAGAAGTACATAGGCGATCAAATGGTTGGGATTCTTTTCTTTCTGGTTTCTTAGAGAAATAGTGTCCACAGGTGGTTTTTAGACTTCTCCAGTAGAGCTGGATATTTCACAAGTTCTCCTTTTCTAGAATAGGATTTATTTATGGGATATAACTTCAAACTGCTTCTCATGTACTTTCCAGTCATTTGCTTGTGATGTATTGGCCAAATAAATGTGCAGAGTGGAATCTGAATTGGCAAGAACGTGCTCATGTTGTGAATGAACATAATGATATGTCTTCCTATTCTTGCTGAGCAAAAGCGAGGTGTTATTTTTATTCTTTATTTACGAATAAGCTGACGTTTCGGTGGATTTTTTTCCTCAGACCTTGCAAAGGTCAAGTTGACTACAATTTACGCGGCCAAACACCTCCATAACCAGCGCTAAACCAAAACTTCAGTCACATTGAATACAGCTTTGCACCGAGTTGAAATGCCACCGAGTAATCATAGACACCAGCTTGTTCGTAACCGCCTATATCACGGTCTATGTTCAACGCAAAATTGCATAATTTGCCCTAATGGTAGAGACGGAGATTGCATGAGTTAGGGTACAGTTTATCTGATCTCCTGTAAGACGTGCGGAGAAGAATACATTGGCGAAACGGGTAGATCACTCTGTGTCCGCTTAAAAGAGCACCTAGTCGGCAAACGTAAACCAAATACCCCGCTAGGCACGCATAGAACCCAGAGACATAGCAGTGAGGATTTTAAAGTAGAGGTTACGATCCTCGCATAGGAATCGAAGACACGAGCGCCCTAAGCTCTCGAGACTTTCTGGATTAATTCCAAAAATCCGAAAATTAACCGCAAGGAGGAATGCCTCATAATAACGCTTGATATTGGGCAGTACGCAAACTAGTTATTCTGATGGGAGGAGCACATTACGCTTCCATGTGAATTCTGTGCGGTTGGTCTCCACGCGACATACTCAACGGAAGCCTCCTAGAAAGTGGTGAGTGTGCAAAACTGTGTTAAGTGTGATTGAAATCTTGGTCTAGCGTCTTCTTTGTTTGGTTATTGAGGTGTTTGTCCGAATAGATTGCTGTCAACTTGACCTTTTCAGGCTGTGAAGAAAACGAAATCCGCCGAAGCGTCAGCTTATTCGTGAATTAATTAAAATAACACCTCGCGTTTGCCCAACATGAATGCGAAGAATTACTTGATCAATGCCGAGGTTAATAGAAAGTCGGTCGTTCGAATTACTGCAAGATATACCAATAATACGTAAGAAGATATGAGACAATTTAATAAAGGATGGACAATGAATCTAGGAGCATATCTGCCTCTCATAGTAAGCGAATAGTCGATTTTCATCGCATTTCACTTCATTCGCAACTAGTCAACCCGTGGCCGACTTGATTTCTCGCTCGTTACCTGTTAGGATGCAAAGTTGCAAACCAGTGAAAAGGAAAAGCGACCTGGTTATTGCAAAACAACGCAAATTTTGTGCGCTATTCTGGAAAAAAATGTTTTCGAGTACCTCGATCCAGTAGAACCAGCTGGAAAATTGGCCAACTCCAAGAACAAAAGAAGACTTAGCTCATAGTCGAGCCACTCCACGTGAGGAAATGTGGTGCAGTCTGACTATTCATTATCGGTATATTGTTTATTATTAATTATTAATTAGTTATATCGTGAGGAAATGTGGTGCAGTCTGACTATTCATTACCGCTATATTGTTTATTATTAATTACTATCATAACTACTGTTAGTATTATTGTTGGTAGTACTACTGTTATTATTATTATTACTGTTGTTATTTATTATTACTATTATTATTATTCATCAGTCGCGAGTCGTCAACCATATGCGACTCAGATCAGCGGCTCTGAAGAAGGCGATACTGCCGAAACGTCAGCTACGGTTGTGTTGTATGTGTGTTATTGCATGGAAGTAAACGTATGCTGTTTAACAACCTTGCGATTGCTGAGAAAGAAAGTGACGAATTTATGGTCCATTGCCGAGGTTAATAGAAAGTCGTTCCTGGGAATTATTTAAATTGTTATTCGCCGCTGTAGCGATCAATGTCATTACTATCATTTTCGTCATTGTGGTTTTTATTTTTGTTAGTACTACTAATTACGTTGTTGTTATTGCTATTCACTATTTTGGTTATTTATTGTCGTTAGTGGCAGATCCTACGTGTTTCAATTAGTATGGGGAATCTGCATTTCTAGGGTACTTTCTAATGAACGTTTCTCAGCGGAAGATCTATTTTACAATCATTTGTTCAGATATTAATGTCTATTCAACGAAAGGTCAGTGAACAAGTGGTGCTGAATCCGAATTCGTCAGTTTATCGTGACTTATTAACTTCATTTCTGAGTTGCACTCATGAACTCGTACCACCTCCAGTACAAGTTAGTATTCTACTTTTAATTCTGAGAGCAATATGTAGTTTATATTATCATGTCTGTAATCCGGAACCGTAGAATTAAACACAAGTGCAGTATTTCTCATCCAATTTCAGATAGCAAGAACAGTAATTAGTCGATGTTCTGACGCAAGTTACGTGCGGACGCTTAACTACCTTTGTGACATCATAACTAGGCCGCGAATGCAGGTATTATACTGATTTATTCTGACGTCATAAGCACATGAAAAAGAAAGTTTAAGAACTTGGCCAGTCATGAAATTGTTTGTCGATCTCTTGTGAAGTTGGAACGGGACGCCGATATGGACACTACGAATGGCAAGGTAAGTTATGGCTAAAAAACTGCAATAGTTTGTGATTTCTGTCATCAGGTTGATGGCTTTTAGTGTACTCGCTTTAAATTCGGTTGATGAATGTGGAATATCCTACTGCTTAAACAAAACTACGTAACGTTTAGTGCTGTTTTCCTTCTTTTTCTCTCTTTCGAGGTCCCTCATTTCCTCAGTCAAACACCTTGCTTCTTCTTTCCTTCCACCTTTTTAGGAAAACACTGAAAAAACCATTTCCTACTTCCGGACGCTTTTATAGAGAGAAGCATCTCACCTTTGTCGTCGGATTACGACGTATTGTGAGATATATGAAAGAGTGTAATTCGTTTTGATCATGTGACTCTTGAGCTATACCTCTGGCTAGTTACATCATTTGACGAGAACTATGCTTTGTTTTTGACGTTACCTTCTGTTCATTTTCTGTTAGTAGTTTAAAATGGGTCTCCACACTAAAACATTTGCGACTACGTGCATTGGTTGAAGTCCACGTTTTTTCCCGTTTTCTCACTGGGTAAACGTAGTTTTTCCTAGACCTTTCGTGTTAATATTTACAGCTTCTCCACCGCAGATGTTATAGCAGATCTCATTGCACAAATAATATGCCGTAAATGCTGCCGCATGTGAAAGTGCAGCTTTTGCGACGAATTTTTGTCTAAATCTCGTAACTATTTTCCTGGCTGTGGCATAATACAAACAAAGTAACACATAGACTAGGTCTTGATGAACTACTAAGATGTCTGCAAGATTTTACTTATGCAATGAATTCCTACACCTAAACCATCTTGCCACATTTAGGTGCAAACGAACGAGAGACACGTGTAAATGATACTTTAACTTAGATTGTTGGTGCCACTAACAGTACTGATTAGAAAAGAATAGGCATGAGCAGGACGCGGATTAATCGGTTGATTTCCACGCATTGTGTTCTTTCTGCATTTTTCAATCAAATGAATTTTCTTGTGGACCAAGAACGATTAGATGAACTCTTACAGACATTCTGAATATGTGTCGAGCTTACAAAATTAGACTTTTGGACAATAAATGGTATTTCCTTGTGAAAATCTTGGTCGTTATATGGAATGAATGGGTATGAAAGTCTTTTTAAAAATGCTTAGTGTACCATACATCTTTTGAGAAACCTATTACCAAGGACTGAAAACACCGTGACTGGGTAGTAGACGAGCGCTCTTATTACACACGAGTAATATTGGATATTCCATGAATATGGAGAGATACGTGTATGAACGTATAGGGTTCTTAGAGAGTAAGAACAGAAGTAGCTACCGAGATACGTGAAAGAGCAGACACAAAGTGCTATAGAAAATTTGGCGTCTTTATCATTGTCGTACACAGGAATAAAAATTACTATTCCATATGTAATTGAGTAAATCAAATCCGCAATTACCAATTTAGCCATTCTAGAAGAAAAATAATAATGTGCTTTCAAATTTTTTTGTTTTGAAGAACCTATTACTGAGCTTTGGAATTTTAGCAACGTTTTGCGACTACTAACTCATCTGGAGTTGAGGCTTTCGAGGAATTCGAAAACGAAATTTGTAATGCATTGGAAGGAACTGTGCGGCAGAACTCCTTGGTAGAAAAGCCATCAGGAAACCAAGTAGCTACGTCTTTTGAGGAAGCTGCCGTAGTAGAAAAGCCACCAACGAGTCAGGAAGTTGTTGCATCCACATCGACATCTAACGGTTGTAATATGGATGACGAAATTATGGTAGGATTCTCTTTCGTTCAGCGCTATCAATATTTGACTGTATCTACATTCAAATTGAATTTGCTTTCTTGTTTCAATATATATTACTAGTTCTCATTCTTGTTACTTATACGTTCCTTATATTTATACTTATAAGAAGCAGTCGAATATTTTTCAGATTGAAGCAGTGCCCGCTGTATCAAAGAGAAACCTCGAAGAGCAGATTGAATTCGTTCCAGATTTTTTGAAGAGTGTCAAGGAGCCAATTGTAAAGAAAACAAAAAAGTCGGATGCGCAACTTCAAAAGCCTTTAGAGGTGAGACTATTTCTGTGTATGAAAGTGTGGTGGAAATTTTATAAAACGACTTCAAGATGAGAATATAGATTTGCAGGTTTACAGAATTTAACATGTTTTGCTGGTTAAATACAAACTACGCTTACTTCAAAGTGAGCGTTTGAGCGATGTTACGCAGCGGTTGTTGTAATGGGATCGCCTATGGCTTTGTAGGCAGAGAGAAAACAAATCAAAGGGCTTTTTTGACTAATTTTTTTCCGTAAATGCGGTTTTTACTAATGAATATATGTTCATGTTTAACATTAGACATCTTATCGTTACATAGTACATACATAACGCTATTTCAATATAGTACAAGGAGTCTTTTTGAGCCTGTGACAACATTACAACTCTGTTGAGGACATGTTTATATGAATTTGTCAAGATCTTACGAAACTGAACATTTCAAGTCTTCACTAGGTTCTCCTGTAGTTTCAAAGTCACATGTCTCAGCTCAAAATGAACCTTATTGATTGAGATTAAAAACACTGGAATCCACACATTTTTTCCAGTGAGAAACACCTTTATTTTTTACCAGTTGCGTAAATTTCTAAAGTTCTAGAAGCGATGAAGTTGTTGGGGGCAGTTTCTGCCTCAATTTCTGAAGCATTTCTCACATGGGAACTTGTCGTGATACTTGAAGAAATGGTAGTCGATAGACGAAAGTTTTGTGTGTATGTTGGATGGGGCAGTTTCGTAGTTCAGTTCGTTCATCCTTTGCAGCGTCAATTGTACGACGCTTAAACTATGAGACAGGTCCTAATGCTAAAAGCTAGTGTGGTCTGATTGTGAGAATGTTTGCAGTGGACCTAAAGTTACACGCAGTACTTGGAACTGCATAATTTTCTATTATTTAGGTGGCAACGTTGTTGGATGGTGAATTAAGTGTGGATGAAATCCTTAGCACGTTTTGTCCAGATTAACAGCTTTTTATGTTCTCAACATTGTTATTTTTTTCTGTTGTCGATTTTGCTTTTGTTAGTTGTTGAATAAAAATTCCAATCTTAACCATTTTATTTACTGCCTATTATTTTTAACGGCAAGGTATGTTGCGAAATATAACTTCTGTAATGCTGAGAATTTGCAAAACTCCGGACTGCAGGTATCTGCGGTGGGGAGCGAACGCGCTATTGTCCTTTCCGGGGAGTAACACGTTCACCACCACACCATGCGGGTCCTCCGTTTCGCCTGTCTCTCAGCTAGTTCTATCGAAAAAGTTTAATATTTGTAAGACATAAGTTGTTGAATTTCTTCATTAAGTACTAATGGCTCTTGCTAAGAACACGCGTAGTTTAATACCGAGGTTTCCTATGATGGTACTTGTATATATGAGATAATCTTCTCGTCGTGTTAAGAGGCTTAATATATTCGTGTCGAAGATGGCGTTTGGACAACTGCCGATTATTTTCCTACGACTTGTGCTTAGAAATTTGAAGATGACTTCTTTGACAAGAAAGGGTGAAGTAAGATTCATGGATTGCCTATAATTATGATTTCATCTTTATACACCGAAGAGATAGAATTTTGTTAGTGAGGACCTACAAGCCTCAACACTTTTGGTTTCAATTGATAACGCTCACTATGAGCTGAGATATGCTTATCTGCAGTTGAAATGCCTAGTTTTCGGGGATCAATTCGTAAAAATCAGTGCATATCGTTACGAATGTGCTAGATATGCCATTGAGCTACTATTCCAACTTTGTTATCAATCACCTGTCTGTTGGGAAAGATAGCACTCGTCATCTCATTCGTGATTAATTGGACAGTATATAATGTTCAGCATGGTCAAACTGCTGGGCAGCAAATGTAGGAGCTCAACATGTGCCAACCTGGTAAAAAGATAAAGCGTAAAGCTCACAGCGTTCGATTATAAATCTGTTGTTCTCATTTTTACAGCGATCGCGAGGTTGTTATTCAGCACACCTTTACTTCCTTAGAAATAAAACAACACAACGGTAGCTGACGTTCTTACTGTGTTGATTAATCCCTGAGCGATCCGTCGTGCATTCGACCTCAGCGATCGTTAGAGGTGACTGAATGTATAGCTGACCTATGCAATTACTCGCTGTGGCTCCCGATGTATCGAGTCAACGCTGTTATCCTCCCAGATCAGTCTGGCACTAATTTGCCGACCCCAAAGGGTTGGAAGGCTTGGTTAGCCTGGGGCACGGGTTCGATTCCATGCGTATTTCAGGGTGCCTTTAACCAGTGCGCTACACACGCCCCGTCCATCTACTAACGACACCTTGTTATCGCTAAGGAAACCCACAATGAAGTGTTGGTTCTATAAAGCGCCATGCACTATTTATCTCGTCTTCTCACACGGAATCTTTTTACCTGGTGTGACTATTCTTTCCACGCAACTTTTGCCTATGAAGTAGGGCAGTAGCAACGAATGCTAGTCGCTGATCTGCGGAATTTGTATATCTCGAGTGGAAGTGCCTGCGTGTGATGCAGGTATGTGGTCTGTGTAGAAGATTTCTACAAATATGTTGTATGAAGAAGAAGAATCAACGCGTAGAATGGGCAGGGCATGTACGCAATTCGCTAGTTGTGTACAGACTCAAGAAAGCGCGCCAAAGTTTCATTTTTTTCATGTCTGGGTTTTCCAATAGCTTCTACCCACTTCAGAAGCTAGGAGAGTGCAATACTTGCTTTCCAGGATCTTCGCTAAGGATCTTGACTTCCTGGTCAGTAGCTTCATTCCCGTTCAGTTCAATATTCGCGTCACCCACGCGCTTATACTCGCTTTCCACCAGTTCTCGTGAAGAAAATTACGTGTGGAGCTGAATGTTTTTCGTCCTCTTCTCCGCATTCTCGATGCTTTGTAAGCTTTCCAAATCATTTGTTTCCCACTGTAGTTAAGGTATGACGAATACATCGTCGAGGCATGTTATACCGAACTGAATGTAACGGAGTCGAACATCCAGAGCATGGAGGACGAAGGCGCACATAGCATGAACCGCTATGGAAATTCATTTCGAGCCATCACCGCTTCGAAAAAGCCAATGCTACCGAAATGTCAGCCACAAAAACGCTTTGTAACAGCATCGTGTCGGCTTACTAGTGAACCAAGATATTGATTAGCCTTGTCGAGGCTAAACAAAAGTCAGTACGAAGATAGTATCTGTAATGTTCGTCATCGTCGATGGTTTGCTGCAAACTGAATATCCATTGCTCATAACCCTGCAAAATCGATATAGCTGTTTCTTAATCATCTCCTCTATGCACACAATGGTAGAGAGAGCGGATCTGTCAACAACAAGTGATTTCTAGAGGGAAATAGGACTGTAAGATCACATAGAAATATATGAAACACTCGCCATAGATATGACCCTACAAGTTTCACGAATGCTTTACAGCCATGCCTTATTGACAACCCAAATATCAAAAATCAGCAGGAGAATCTCATAGTGCGTAAAAGCGTTGTACTCGTTGGAAACAACTACGTGAGAGCATCTCGCGGTTTACCTTTTCCTCTGAGACCTGTTGTTTGGCAAACAATGTCACACCAATTTAACTCCTGGTGGTTCTGCTACTTTTAGAACAATGAGTTAGCTATAATCTCTTCAGAAAACTATGAAGCTGAATGGAATCACAGGAAGGATCCTGAGGTTAAACGAATATGTTGGCTCCATCGCCGTCATTTTGTATCGAAGAGAAAGGAACATGGTCATTCTCCGGTTATAGTATTTCATAAACTGCTTTACTGCGCCGATCCGTTCCTTATTATTGCGAAGCCACAATGGCCTCTTAGAAAGAGATCTTTTCAACTGGGGAAAGCTTTGCAATTCTGCAAAATGTAATCGTGAATAATTTGAAATAGTTACAAGAACGAATCGCATATGAGCCGGCAAGAACACCGTACACTCCATTCCTGGTTTCCTCCTTAAGATAAGGGATCTTGTTTTATAAATGTTCTGGATCTGTTGAGTTTCTCCTGAACAGCTCGCAAATTCCGTTTAACTGAGCCTGTCTGTGAGTCAATGGAAAGTGCTTGTAGGTACATGTCTTCGGCTAGTTCGTAACGAGTCCATCGTTGATAGAGAACACCTGTAAAGTCGACGAATAGGTGAACTCTCAATCTCACTTTCAAGCTAAATTAATGGATGGAATTAATTAAAATTATTATTAAATTTTGAACCTATAAAATTCGCTAGAGTGTTCGCTTCGCAGCAGGTATAACGAGTAAAGCGCAGCAATTAAAGGAGCCCACGTTGAGATTTTAGCCATTTAGAGAAGTAACGAATACAGTATTCCACAAAACATACCTAAATTTGCATAATACATGGAATTATGGGGGTTGAGCTGGACGGCAATTTTCAGTCGATCTTCTGCCTCACGAAATTTCTTCATCTTCGCAAGACAGACGCCTATTTGGAACGCCAAAGCTGCTTCTTGGCTGATAACCGTGTTTGGGAGCTTCCTAGATATCTCCACCACCAAACTGCATTGTTCGAGTTCGTCCAACAACACGAAAACGTTGGTTAGTGCATGAATATGGTTTGGATTGAGTCTAAAATGTAGTTACTTAATTAGAATGAACGTAAGAGGAACGGTCTTTATACCTACCACTAGAATTGACATTTTGCAATACTTGTTATTTTTGAAATATTTAACGATTTATATTTTCGGTTCGCATAGATATCACGGTCGCCTATGTGGGAACTAACGAAGAACACGAAGAACGCTTCTAACCAAAGTACTGAGCAAGAAACGTTTTTTCGTCGGTTCTCAAGGCTCATTCACGATAAGCATCTTGTAGAAGTGCATCTTAAACAGACGGCCCGTGTGAACCTATGCTGCCGATCACCTCACTTCTACTATTTGTTCCGTATTCTTGCAACTGCAGTTCGTAGAAGTTGTCGACTTCCTGTATGGAGTTGACTGCGAGCTAACGATCTTCATCTTTTCTCCTCACCAACACTTCGAATGCTGATTATGCATGAATTTTCCTGGAAACCTGACATAGGCGTTCTAAAGCGTTCTCAGAGGAGATTCACAGGTTGCCACTGTACGATTCTGATTCTTTCAAGAAAGAAATGCTTAACTGTGATAGATTTTGTAGAAGACCGACGCCCGACGATAACGTAACAGACTGAATGCAGAAGCACATCATAAATTAAACATTTTCTGACTTCTTGTCCACTATGTAGATGCAGATGTAGTCATTCAAATAGATCTTTTGCCAGCATATTGGTACAATCGATGTCAAAGTAGCTATCAGTGCATCCACAGAATTTTTTTTTGTGGGCTGTCCAGAATGGCTTTCCTCACGCCCATGACCCACCAAGTCTTCTATCCCTCCGAGGTCGGCAAATTGGTACCAGACTTGTCTGGAAGGGTAACAGCACTGGCTCGATAGATCTATAGGCCACCGCAAGTCATTGTAAAGGTCAGATATGCATTCAATCATCTCCAACGATGCTTAATGAATTCGAATACATGGCGCATCCCTCGTAGATTTATCAACGCCGATAGCTTTATCCTTTCAACCCTTTACTAGAAATGTGAACTAATTATTCCCATATCGGAATTGTTTCCTTCACTGTACGATATTTTCAATGATTCGTGTTATTAAGACAATTTTTTGCGACTTCGAACCATTTTTCTGTAGAACTCATACACCGCTAAAACAGCCAAATTGTGAGGTATTGCCAAGCAGAGTCACATCAGAAAAGCCACGTGTGCATGAGTAGTCTCTTCTTGGTTGCACGCTTTGATTGATAAATCATGGAATTCTGTCATCTAGGGGAAAACGTGCGCAGCCAGTGATTGACTGCCGAATAAATAATGGATCCCAGTTCGCTTTTCGTACTCCTGAATCGTTTGCTCGTCAAACCGTCTTACCACATGGTCATATCTTAAAGCTGGCAGGTTGTCTTTTGCTCGATATGGGCTCAAACAAATGAGGAAGAGATGGCAAAAACATGTACAGCGAATATCTGGGAGATAACATAATTGGTTTGAGCTTTTGTTAAGCACAGTTCCTAATGTATTACTTTGCTAAAATGTCTTCCCAAAATTGATTTTAGTTTTCGTCACAGCAAACATTCACAGAGATGTGAAGACCACCATTTCCACTGAAATGTCTATTAATCGAACCGTGTAGCGTTCATCCATGCTTCGAGAGCTTTTTGCGGTTGGCCCATTTTCTGATAAAGATTTCCGATGTTGAAGAGACAGTCGGCGCTAAGCGGTCGTATCCGCAAGGATTGATGGAACGATTGAAGCGCCTCCTTAAAAAGTTCTGTTTAAAAAACTGTTTTAAGTTCATTCTATAAGCTTTAATCGTTTACGATGATAACACAGCCAGATTTTCAGCTGCAGTACAACTTTTCTTTCTTATCCATTCAATTGCTTTCACATATGAAGCTTTCGGATATGAAGATCCACTTAAACAAATTCTTCACTCGCTAATGCAAGTTGAACTTTACCTCTTGACATTATGGGATAAAACGCAGATGTTTGAACTTTTGTTTACTGCCAATTCTTTTAACAACAAGGTATTATCTGAAATACAACAGCAATGGTGCTGAGATATGAGGAAAATTCGAAGACTCAGGTGCGCATCGAACCCGAAATTACCCTTTCCGAGGGCTCACGTATCATCCACCGCACAGACCGAGGCCATTGCTTTCCTTTCTTATCAACCAGTTTTTTTGCTCTAGCGGTGCTCTCAGCAAGTACTAACGGGGAAGCAAGGGCCTATGTTATTGCAGCGGGTAAAACATTAGCCTCTGGAAAGGTTGAAAGGAAGATTTTCAATGTTCTAATCTTCACGTTGAACAACATAAGTGGCTGAATTCGCTGATATCAATGCATGCATATGAGGCTGGGTTCCGTGGACGGCATGCATTGACTGTAGTCCACCCATGTTTTGCAATCAGTTAACAGCTTATCCAACATCGATGTTGTGCAAAGAGCATGAAAAACGTTCTCCAATATAATAATATACGAAGGACTTTCCCTGAAGGCTTTTTGAAGGCCGCACACTGGTCAGGACGAGACGTTAACCTAAGCGACCGCTAGACAAAATTAGGCGTAGTCACGCATTTCTTAAGACCCACCTCATACTTGTTTTGATTCATGAGGGTGATGCCCAGATTCATCCATGCAGTTGCAAAAGTTGGTTTACTCCGAACGGCTTTTTTCAGAAGAAGTTCTGCTTCTTTTCTTCGACCTTTCGCTTCAAGAATATTTGCGAGATTGTTCATAGCATGGTCGTATTGAGGATTTAGTCTGGAATTCGTACAAGGCAAGAATTTCCGTGGGAGTCCACTATGAAATGCCCAGTCACTAACCGAATAGCGTTCCAGTAGTTCTGTTCGGCACCGTCTACGTCTCCGATTTCGCTAAGCACCTTTGCAAGATTATAGTGAACTTTAGCATTTTTCGCGCAAACCCTTAGACCACTAGTGTAAAGATCCAACTCGGTACGCCACTCTTCCGATCGCTGAAATTTTAACATTATAATGAAAAAACTGGAGAGCAACCGGTCAGCAAGTGTTTTCAGAATTCAAAATTGGTTGTAAAGATTGCCTAATTAGAATTTGAAGACAGCAAACATGTGGTTATTGGTCCAACTTCAAGCACTGGACTAACAAAGAGTGAATCACTCCTGGTGCCCCAATTACTCTGTCTTGGATGCACAAAATCAGTGCAAATTCGAGTTCTATGGGAGATTGCTGTTACTCTCCGACTCTTTCATATGGACACAGTTGATTCTTAGAAAATCAACTTCGTGGTGGTGAAAACACTGATTTGTAGGTTTTCTGGCTCCTGTGTGAATTTGTTGTAAGAATAACTCTGTGTGCTACACTACTTAAGGGTAACAGAAATCTGTAAACATAACTTTAGAAGGTGATGCGCCGAAACGTCCACCTCACCGGAATAAAGAATTAAGTAACACCTCGTGTTCGCTCATAACTCCAGAATTACATAAGCTTTTCTCGACGGGGCGGAAATAGTGCAGTGGTTAATGATGCGGTCTGTTATGGAGGTAAGACGCTGGTTTGATGCCCTCCACAACGGTCTCTTCCAATCCAAGTGTGAACTGCTCAGCCTGGCTATCTCTAAGCTCGCAAGGAGAAACGACTCGACCAGCATTCTACGGCATTCATAAAGAAGACGATATCCTTAACGAGTACTCGAAGCAACTAGCAAAAGGTTCGAAGAGTTCGGTGTATGATGGATGCGAGGAAAACAAATCGAATGCAAAAAGTGCTAAGATCAGCATAGTAGATGTGATGACGTGTCATTTAAAAAAATCCCTCGATGTAGGAAAGTTGGCTATAGAAACTAAGGATCAAGGATACCGAAGCAAAGCTTTCATCACTGATCAATCCCACATCGATGCTTCGCAGATTATGGAAATATTATTGGGATTGTACAGTAATTTGCAAGAATCTCATGATTATGAAGATTATAAAGTGAAGTTCTCGATATTCTTGTTGAGCAAACACAAGGCGCTACTTCATTCTTTATTCCGTAAAAGCAGACCAAGTGAAACTTTCAGCTCTCAGTAAAGTCTAGTACTAATTTACCAAGGTCGAAGAGGACTTTGTTTGCTTTGTGTAGTAGTTGTGGACTAAGTGCATATGTCAACGCTTATGTAACTCCTAGGCTACAAGCGCCCTTACTATAGAATTATATAAATGCATTTGCCTGGTAGGTTTTTGTCACAGCAACGATCAGTAAAGCTACGAGAACTTTGTCCGTGTTTCTGAATAGCCGTTGTGAACGTTCGAATAGTAGTGCACCACAAATGCATATTCCGGCAGATGGCAGATACAGAACTCTCTCGGCAACAGTAAACCCTACCGTAACGATTAGATTACTGGCTGGTAGAAATGTAACGGCTCCGAGGACAACGCCAAAGTATAACAACCTGCAATTACAAGTTTATAGAAATCTTTTACAGTGACACAATATTACGAAAAAGTTTGACAAGCTTTCGAAGAGAATTTTACAGTAGATTACCTATCGTTTAACTCATAAAGGAAAACGGTAATACAGACGGCCATCAATAAAATAAGGGGCAAAGATAGCGCTCGGTAGTCCGCCCAGCTTTCCACGGCCGGCACACAACCCATAGAGTAGTCGAAGCAGAGCGAGTGTGGGAACACGAGTAGACGAACATTTACCAGCCACTGATAGCAGTAGGACGCTAACTGAAAAACATCTCGACACCTGACATCCTTCGCTGCCATCGTAAGAAGCTAGCCGGAAAAATTGCCACGTCGTTCGTTTTTACGTGGAAAATTTTGTTAATCTCTTAACACTGTGAACTGGACTTAAGGACTTAAGTAAGAACATGCATCGACATCAATGCATAAGTTGGCAGGCAAAACGGATCGCATGTATTGATTTCGATATATGCTATTATTCCGAGTTTATTTGTTTCCCTTTTAAACGCGATGGATATTCATTCTCCAATTCCAATCCTATCCAATAGTGTGTTATGCCCGATATCGTCCATTATATGAATTGCAAATAATTTCCCAGAGACATTTTGGAAAAAGATAAGAAGTGGTGAAGAGCCATGCGTTGTCTGAAAACACCATCACACAAAAGAAGGCGTAACCAAAAATATGTTTGTAAGGAAATACAGTATCTTTCGATTGCGGTATAGGAGAAAAGCACTATTTGGAGGCGGTTTCATTTTATCTCGAGCAGGGACCATTTCGTCCTTATTTTAGCTGCTTTTGTGAGTTAAAAACAGTAAGAGCTGTGTGTCGCTCTTCAGAAGTGGCATTTTAAAAGATCACTAGTGAAAATATATTCCACTAGAAGGAGGCAAAGCTGTTCGCAATAGAATAACGCTGTGATCGAAGCCAAAATTTTCGAGGGATTTCTTAACAACATACTTAGCTTATAGTTCGATTCGGACAGATTGGTGCTCGCACAACGAAATCGCTCAAAAACCTTGTTTAAGCGAAAAAAATCGAAAAAAACGGACGAATCTCCGGGGAGCGACAGCAGTGTTCTCGCGGCACCCGACGAGACGACCACGAGTGGGGCTGCGTCCAATTCCCATGACTCCCCGGAGAAGGCAAAGTTAATAGCGCAAATACAATACTAAATAGTGTATAATATTAAGCGGACAAGTTCTCCGCGAAATAGGACAACGCGAATTTCAGCACGCAAACGCAATATTGTGCATACGGCAGTACTCGCGGACGATGTAGCCACGGTGGCGCCGCCGAGTTACGGCGGCGTAGTCCGCAGAAAATGCGGTGTTTTTATAGTGGAATATGGATCGAATCACTGTTTTTCTTACTCACTCTCTCCTTCGTTTTGGTGAAAATGTTTCTAATTACTCTATGTTATTACGCGCAAGTATTACCGTAGTTGGAGACGCCCAGCAGTGTATGCCCAGTCATTAGTTCCAGTAGATGTCTGGAGTGATCAAATCTACCTTCGGCAAATTTCTACGAAGCTTGTTTAGGAGGACTAAACATTTCGGTATCCCAAGGCAAACATGTGTTCATTCACTTCCACGCGACCTAATCTATTTCGACACTAACGTTTTCAAGGATAGATTAACGTTAAAGCCTTTAATTTAACCTTTCATATAGTTGTAAATACATCGTAGTTCCTCATTTAATGAATGTGCCGCCATGAATTGACTACACGTGGTGATATGAACTTCCTACAAGAGCACTTAAATCGTCTGTTTCACAACTGCCTTAATAAACCATCTATTTCATATTCACAGTTTGTTCTCATTTCAGGAAGAAGCCGAAAAAATGAAATGTCTGAATCGATCCTATTTAAACCCAAAAAATGTTTGGGTGATTTTCCTTTTGATATCATGGAATCAACCTACTCGAAGCCAGCGATCGCCAACGAATGCGGCGGCGTTATCCAGTTCAGTGAATTTCGGTGCTCTGAAGTCGTTGATACTCATTCGGAAGACGACAACTGCGGCGGTGAAAACAACGACAAGGGTGCATCGAAGCACCACCGCTCCCCTCCGGTGGGACGAGTAGTGGAAAAGCTCGAGAAGCAGGAAAATAGGCTGAAAATTGTGTCAGCTCTGGGAATACTCGTGAAAGACGTATCCAATGAAAAAAAAACTTGGAATAGAATAATCTGAGAAAAGGCCAACGTGAAACGACTCTTCCTATTTGTCTGATTTTTAAGTTTTATGCCGAGCGAACCCTCGATGTTTGCGAACCTAAAGCAATCGCAACGAAAAACTGAAAGCTAGGTCGTATTGGAGCGAAGTCCATTTTATCAGTGTCAGATCAGCTTTTGCTTTGATTAGGCACCAAAAAATGTGAAATATGGAACGGACATATGGAGCCTTTTTTCTATTGATGATCCCAAGTGTGAGCATCCTGTCATGTGACATACGTTAGTATCATAACAGTAAATCATGGAATATCGAAATCTCCCAACGGTCCACAGCCACATCGTGAATGGAAGTTGCTATTAGGTGTTGAGCTGCGATATACAGCGTGAGGATTCGTCCCTGGCAGGTCCACCCAAGCTGAGAAGGAGTCCGGTGTTTCCACCTGAAAGCCAGGAAGCCCAGCTAAGTATAGACGAATACCAGGATTCACCACTGTCCTCGTATCAAACTAGTCGACTGGTGGCAAATCTCATTCTAATCCACATTGGTGGCGATTGCCTGTGGTGGTGCCGACCAGGCGCACACTTTGGCTAGACTGACAAGGGGCCTACAAAGAACCACAATGGTTAAACCAGCAAAACTCCGTAAAAATGGAAATTATGCTAGGACTCGCACAACCAGTGAGGTCGGGCTAGCCATGTGTCAAAGTAAGGAAGAATATGGAATGTAAAATGTAGCTGTGTCTTTTCTCGATCAACAGAAATATCCATCGCAGTGGCAGTGAAGAGCTGTTCTTCAATGATAATAGTGAACATGTTCCAAAAGCTACGAAACACTCTAATCATTCAATACGTATTCTTTTTTAGTAAACTAAAACGAGGTTTATACAAACCTTAATCGTGACCCGATATGATCATGAATGCTCAGGTTGGAGAGAGAAAGGGTTGCAGACAATCGACTCGGATCAATCGTGCTATGAGTGAAGCGAAGGCGCCAAAGCGTTAGCCGAATAAAGTTCTTTTCATCAACCTCTGGTCAGCTTATCAACGAAAAAGTACGTATGCACTAGTCATATAGGTTTCGAAGCACTCTTCCCAGTGTCAATGTCGTGTAGGTCTTTGAAGTAGAAATATAGTATAGAATGTTAAGAAATACCTGTGAGCTTTAAAACTGCTGGAAATAGTATGATTAAAACAAAAGGAACCAGCGATCTCTTATATTTCTCATTTTATTAGCGCTTTTGGATCAGTTTTTGCTGTGACAGTAATCTAGTACGGTTATTTGGAGCAACTTACCAGTGCGGTAACACCCTGTTCCTTACTGGTCACCGAAGCCAGCGCCAGTATAAAAATGACCGTCATGTTGACGAAGTTGAATACGTGATTTCGCAGACAATGGTTGTAGTAGAGAAGAGATGATAGTGCAAAGACGCTCATCAATAGCTCGGCTCGACCGGAGATATTCGCCACATAAAACATTTCTTTTAGATCGTTTTTGCCGTTTATAATTGATTAATTCATTGTCTGATCTAATGAGGATTATAACGTGTGGAGCTGGAAAGCTATGGCTAGAATTAAAGCGGAAACTTAGAATAAGGCCGACATTTTCTTTGAGTGATACCATAAATGATCCCTTTCAACAGGAGATTTGTACTCCATCACTTGCGCCACCCGCAATTTCATCGCTCACCAAGTGGAAGTGGAAGCAGTAGAGTCTTTTTCTACGTGCACTTTGTTAATTTCTTAGAATTGTTAATGTGCAAACGCTTACATGAAAAGTGAGTCGATGTCGCTCAACTAAATAATTCGCACTTCTACTAAAGGATGAATGCTCGGTCAAACCATTGAGGCTTCTGAAGCACAAGATCGACGAATGGAGAATTTAGCCCTACCTGCTCAAACCGCTGGGTGTTTAGTGCAATAACAGATAAGTCGCGCCAAGTGATTACATAGGTTTATTACAACCGATCGACTATGGAATTTTTAATATTCGATTTGCAATCGAGATTTACGAAGCTCACCGCTTCAGTATGCACCGGATGAACAGCGAACGCCACAGCTGCCACTGAAGCTTCATCCCAGGTGAATTGAGAAATCGAATCCTCACATGACAAGGCTCGTATGCTTTTCACAAGAAAAAATAACATTACTGATGACAGAACGTGCAAAATGATGTTAACGAGGTGAAACGGTGTGGTCCAGATGTCGTGAAACCGGTAGTGGAGCCTGTAAGAGAACAAATCTTTAAAGAACCAGTAGGACGTGGATAAACAAACTGTTAACTTTTAAAAGTGTTTTCGCAAAATGCCCTGTAAATTAAGGTCTCCTCATTCTTCTTAAATTTCTATTGTTTTCGCTCAATCCTGTAACTATATTTACACTGAAACTTCTGTGTTTTGTTTTAAATTATGAGCGCGTATGGCAAACCGGTTAAGACTGCACAGAAATATGTATAGCTTTATTAGTTCTATCTCATGCATGAAGAGAAAAATGTTCCCCATCCCTTTGGTGACGACAAATTGGTAACAGATTTCTCTGGGTGGACTGTAGCTTGGTACACAACTATGCTCTCTCTTATTGCATTGAAGAGGCTAAATATGCATTCAGTCACCTCTACGATACCACGAATTCAGTTGGATGCATGGCGCTTTACTCTCCATTCTATATTAAACCTTCACTATATAGTGGGTTTTTTGTATTACTTGTGAATTTAGAATACGTTTACTAGTTTCTTTTGCAAATATTTCTCCCAAATTGATCGTTGAGGCCCAAGCTAACCGGGTCGGTAGTTTCGCCAACGGATTACATTGGATTAGGAGATGCTCAATGAATGACCGAGGTGCTAATTGCAAGGTTCGACAGTCCTTAGACGGGGATGCTCAGCATGGTGGTGACCTCAGCAGCTGCACTCATCAACAGACCTCCGCCAGTCGCTTCGCTATGACTCGAGTGCGAAACGAGTCTCAGTGGGATAGGATTACGTAACGCTAAGTAATACGTCTTATTAAAGCGAATCGAGTGAAGAAGTGGTAAGCCCTAATTGCTTAACGCTTTCTACACAGGATGTGCGCCGCATTGCGCATTCCGTATCTAATTTTATGGGAATTGACAAGAAGACGAATATAAATTTAAGAGATTTAAAATAAAGTATGTGGTTGGTATTTTATGAAATAAACGACTTAAAAAATTGTAAAAAAAAGTTTCCATCTTGATGTGGATAAAGCAAAGGATAAAGTTCTCGGCTTTGATAAATCCCTGAGGGGTGTGCCATGCATTCGACTACATCAGGAATCGCTCGAGGTGAGTGAATGCATATATTGCCTATGCAATGGCTCGCGCTGGCCTACGGATGTACCGGGTCAGTGCTCTTATCCTTCCATACAGGTCTGGTGCCAATTCGTCGACAATGCAGGGATGGAAGGCTTGGTGAGCCTACGGTGCGCGACCGTAAAAACATATTATTTTAGAAGCGCCTCTAATCACTGCGCTACACGTTTTCCACTTTAATAAGAACGTTCCCTAATAGGTCTCATGCTGCAAATAATCGTTTGTGTAGCCGGTGCTTCTAAATTTCTTTGCCATTCCCTGCTCTCAGCTGTATTACTTTAACTTTCTTGTGATTAATTACAGAAAAGTTTCAAAATAACATTTAGCAAGAACTTCTAAAGATCCGTCTAATTGCTAATCTTCAACAGTCGAATGAGCAATCTTTATAAGGAATCAAGCGAGTAGCATAAAAATCTTCATTTAACTGGTGATTTTT